CGATATTGTACCTGTCAGTCCTGGATCGTTGTGACGCATTTCCGATACGAAATGAGATCGATGAGATCAGATAGGTAATATTTAAAAACATGTCAGCTGTGGTGTGGGGAAAATAAGTTTAAACTGCCAAATCTACCAATTTTTTATGTGTGTGTAAAGATAGTGCAAGTGAGAGTCTGCTATTTTACGCGCGTCGAAACACTGTTATTCAAACATAAATATTTCGCGTTCTAGATCGAATTTTAAAAATCCCCCCGAGGAAATTAAAGAAGAAAGCATGCTTTAGCAGTATTTGTCAGTTTTGGCGAAAAAAGTTTAATATCGAATGTCACCGAGGGCGTGGAACAAGGTGTTATTTTCTCACTCCTTTTGTTTACATGTTTTGAATTTCAGGCATTCTGATTGGTCAAGAACGCAAAATGTAAACAAACGCGCTGATTGGCTAACATTATTTGCCCTTGTTCCTCTGCACTTGTTATCAGAATATAAACTAATTACAACAACCGAACACGATACTTTTAAAAATTATCTAGTTTACATTTTGTGGGTGGCTTTGTTAGGATATCAGCTACCATATCTTGGGTAGGACAATATACAATATCTATATATCATGCCTTTAACATACTTTTCACGTACAAAGTGGTACTTTATGTCAATATGCTTAGAACGTTGTCTGTTAACTGGGTTCTTACTTAGTGCAATTGCCCCTTGGTTATCAACACTTACCTTCATACTCTGATGGACTTCCTTATACATACCGTTTAACAATTGAGTTAGGTACAAACACTCTTGAGCTGTATTTGCTAAAGCTACATATTCAGCTTCGCAAGTGGAAATGGCAACCGTTGGTTGCTTTCTCGACTTCCATGAAATCAGTGGTCCTCCTTCAGTTAGAGTACAACAGTGACCTGTAGTACTTCGCCTGTCTTCCAGGCAAGAGGCCCAATCTGAATCACTATAAGCAGTGAGCTGCAAGTCAGCATCAGATTTCTTAAAGCAAAGTTCATAATCCACGGTACCCTTTAGATACCTTAGGACATGTTTGGCAGCAATTAAATCTCCCGTTCTGGGGTTTGACAGAGATTGAGACAGTTTGCTTACAATCCAACTTAAATCGGGCCTTGTACAGGTCATGGCATAAATTAAGCTTCCTATCATTTCTCTATACTGTCTGGCGTTGGTCCATTCACCACAGTTAAATTCTAATCGTTGCTCACATGGGGTTAACCTGGGCTTGCAGTCTATCATTCCAAATCTCTCTAGTATTTTAAGATTCATTTTTATTTCACCCTTGCTTTGCTTAAAATCCATTCCAAGGAAGAAAGTGATTCTACCTAGATCTTTCATCTTAAATTGTGTCTTCATACTCTCTTTAAATTCTTCCATTAACTGCATACTATCTGAAGCTATAATTAGGTCATCAACCCAAACAATGACAATAACAATTTTATCATTAACTTGTTTCTTATATACACAGTGATCAGCATGGTTTCTGACAAGCTGTCATTTGCTAAATGCTCGTGTAAAAATATGTTCCAATTTCTACCTGATTGTTTTAGACCATATAGCGATTTCTTTGGCCTATATACTAACCTCTCACTACTCTCTGAAACTTCTTCAAACCCTTGTGGCTGGTCTATGTATAACTCTTGAGTAATGGGGGCATGAAGATATGCAGTTTTAACGTCCATCTGGTGGACAATAAGATCATGTTTTACTGCTAATTGCATTAAGACCCTAATTGAAGTAATACTGGCTGTCGGGGCAAAAATTTCTTGATAATCTATACCCTTTACCTGGCTGTAACCCTTCGCTACATATCTGGCCTTAAAGATCTCTATGCCATTCTGATCTTGTTTGGTTGTGTACACCCATTTTCTCCCCACTGAAGCTTTACCTTCTGGTAAAGTTGATAATTCGTAAATATCATTCTCCTTCAGAGAGCTGATCTCTTCCTTCATTGCTTGCTCCCACTCCCTAGCTTGAGGTGATCCCATGGCTTCTGTGTAATTTTGTGGTAATCCACAAACTTTGTAGCAGTAATCTACACTAATGTGGGCATAATCGGCATTCTTAGGGAGAAGAGTGTCCTCTTCTAAGTATCTGGGAGGGTTCCTTTCTCTTTGAGGATACCGTTTTGTCTCACTGTCATTTTCTGTATGATCGCAATGCCTTCCCTCACTATCCCTAGGCTCCTCATCAGGCACTGCATTTGGCGGAATTGCACTTAAAACAGGGAGCCTCATACTATCTAAGTCTGATCTAGTATCATGGTCAGATTTCTCATGTACATCACAGTCCCTGCTGGACTCATCAGTTTGTGTGTGCTGTTCTACACTACCTTTCTTGATGAATCTAATGAGTCGATGTTTCATGATTTTCCCATTTTGTGGGTTGTACACTAGGTACGAAGGGCTATTTTTGTCGTATCCTACAAATACCCCCTTGCTGCATCTTGAGTCTAATTTTTTATGCTCCTGTTCGTACGTAAGCAAAACATTCAGATCCAAAGATCCACATTTTAGAAAGATCAGGTACTTTCCCAGTAAGGCTAAAGTAGGGTGTTGTCTTTGTTCTCTTATTAAAACATATATTCCTAATGTAAGCTGCGGTTTGAATTGCATAGGGCCAGAGAGTTTTGGGTAACCTTGATTGAAGGTGCCCATTTCGAACAATGTGCGCCAGTGCCTTTCGGCGGTGCCATTCTAGTGTGGCGAGTAGGGAGCAGAAGTTTCATGCCTGGTTTCTCTCTCCTCCGCAGAGGCTTTAGTTTCTTAGGATTTAATATTACGATGAGATACATTTCACTACACTTTACATGGCGGATCTTGGAACACGAGCGTAGCCGCTGGGCGAAGGAGCGCAGAGCCCTGGTTTCATGTTTTATGCCACGCTCCCTTAGTAGTGTTTGAAACGCCTTACCTGTAAATTCTGAGCCATTGTCAGAACGGATGCAACTTACCTTGCCATAAGGAGTGATGTCTGCTAGAAATTTCTCAGTTGCTACAAAGGTGTCACTTTTACATTTCAGAAAGTAAACGAATACTGCCCCTGAGAAATCGTCAGTAAAAGCTGCAGTACTTAAACCCCTCTCTTGATACAGGAGAAACAGGACCTGCCAAATCCACATGCACTTTCTCCAATGATTTTTGAGATCTTGTATCAGGAATCATACTCCTGCTGTTTACAAATTTTCCTTCTACACATGTATTACAACCTAACTTAGATGACTCAATTTTACCTGAGAATTTCATGCCCTTAACTACCCCCTGTAGTTTTATAATATCTTCAAAATTTCAGTGACCTAGGATTTCATGCCATGTGTTAATATCATATGAGAGATTTACTTTATCTACTTCACTTACGCTATCGTTCTCATGACTGCCTATGGAAGTCAAATAGTACAATTGTCCATGTTCTTCAATTTCAACAATAGTACCATCATCTTCAAGGGTTAGCTCACCAGAATCTTGGGCAAATCGAAGCTCGGCCCCATTTGATGTGGCTGCCTTCATTGAGAAAATATCTTGAGGATAGGATGGTATATATAAGGCGTTTTTCGGCACCGTTTTCACACATTTTCCATTTGTATCTTTCAGAAACACTTCAGCATCCCTTCGTTTCAATGCAATATTACTGGCTCGTGTGCCATCAGCCAGTTATTCTTTATATTCTTACAATCTTACAATAAGTTTTAGTAATTTAATAGATAAACTATTTTGAAGTGAACACCTGCATGCCTGCCACAAAAGAGTTCGGAAACATATACAAAAATATGTATATTTGATATTATAGATTGATATAGGTATATAGCGATATCTGATTTAGGCTATAGAGCTACAACTGCAGATACAACTAAGACCCCGTTCACACGATACCGGCAGAGTTTGAAAACGGTACGAAATTCTTACGTTTATAGGGGTTGCGTTCACACGATGCAGGTATGACAAAATGTGAAACCGTAACGCTAACCGTATGAGTTTGAAAACGGTATGCTAACCGTAAGAGTTTGAAAACGGAACGAAATTCTACCGTCAGAGAGAAATTTGGATATTTCAAACTTTTGCTTCACCAAATCTTTGGCTTTGCCAAATTGCTGCACCAAATGGATCTTTGGGATAATTGTGCGCCAAATCAATATTTGCGATCAAACTGCGCCGCTTCTCGGAAATACACCCTCAAAATCACCCTGGTAATGACAAACCAGACAGCTGGAAGCCTTTATGCTAGCGCTGTTATCACTATACCCACTGCAACCCAAATCTACCCGCAAATCTACTGTAGTTAGATATTTGAATCAAATAATGTTCTGTACCAATATATGTCGAGAATTGCCTTCGAGATAATCCTCAACATTATAGTTTCTTTTAGGTTTTATTTGACGCTACGAACTATCCTATTTTTACAAAAGTTAGACACAGTTAAATATTGAGATTTTTAGGCATCAGATCTCGTTCGAAAGAACCACTGAATAGTAACGGGGTTTTTTTTGCGGCCAGTTGTATAAAACTCGTACAACTTTTTAACTATTCGCTTTGTATTTAACAGTTAAGTTATAGCTAACGTGCCAAAATGCAGTTAAGATGGCTCCCCACAGTTCTCTACAAGGTTTAGGTAGTTTAGTTAACCTTCGCTTTCAACTAAATTAAATGTTGGCTACACTAAAGCCAGGGTAATATGATCATAATTTCCAGGAAAGTTCAGAAGTCTTGTGCTGTCGATATACAAATAAATAGGAACGATGTTAGTGTTGCCATGGCAGCCAGGTAGTTTTATCTTTTGCACTTTTATTGTTTAATTTCAGAATTAAACAACAATTTGTAATAATAATTATTTGCATGCAGCAACCCCTCGCCCTTTCGTAGCGGACAGTCATAATTAAAAAAAACTGAGTGCCATGGTAACATGAAAATCATATATAATTGGTACAAATTGAAAACAAAAGGAAATCTTAAGCTTAAATCGTAATGAAAAAATTCATCTTTAATATAATTATTCTGTAAATTCTTTCAGTTCAAATCCGAAAAGTTCCCGCTCCGTAGGCGTAGACCCGCAATTTCTCACAAAATGCTATTTTATCCTCACTAATTTCACAGCACAGTTTTTCATTGTTCAGCGACACGGATCGATGACGATACACGATTATGTCACTCAGGAGGACCGATTTCTATTAACCAGTGAACCAGTCATAGATATCTTATATACACTAGATAGTGCATCTCTTTTAGTAAAATTGAAGCCAAGAATATTCCAGCGGTTACCCCCATTTGAATAGATGGCGGCCATGTTGGTCGTTCCCACTTGCTAATAAACGCTTAAAAACAACAATAACTTTCATCATTTGAATAGCTTAAAAATGTATTTGGAATAAGGTTAACTTAATGTTTAAGTTCCCTGTTTAAGAAATAGAAAACATACGAATCTTCTCATTTCATGGGAACGACCTGAGACTGCAATCACGGCTTCAATTTTTGAATTGCAGAATAATTAGATGCACTATCTAGTGTGTATAAGATATCTATGGAACCAGTCTTCCTTTCAACAAAAGACCAGTTTTGCTCGAATCATTTTGAGTTATGCAATCTTATGCGTGTTGGACGTAAACAACATATCTCGTCTACAACTTCGAGAAGGTACAGATAATTCCTTCTATATAATATCCTTAATTCAGGATCTATATCTCTATAAAATCACAAGGACGTTAATGTTAAGTGTTTGGGCTATGTCTCTGGGCTGAGAAATAATTCATTACATGCGATCAAAATGTTTTATACAAAGATGTAAAACGGTAATCTATATGTAATGGATCAGCATTTAAATTTCCAACACAGTTTCTGAGACGTAATTGAAGAGATAACTTATCATTGCATTTGAACTATTACATCAGTTGGTGTTAGGGAGCAGTCATTATTAATGCCAGGGGGGGCGGAAGATATTTCTAAACTCATGGTAAATTTTTCATGGCCCCTCATTCCTTCAAAATATTTTTTCATGCCCCCCCCTTTAAATATAATAAATTTTCATAGCCCCCCCCCCCTCCTTCCCCTATGATTGAACTTGCATTCCAAACATATACTAAGATCACAGGCGGCCCAATCTCGCAAGCGACATCTTGGGCTACTGTGGTGCTTGATTTTCGATGGCTGGGGAGCGGGAAATGAAAACAGCAAGTCCAATATGGCGGGGAAATTTATCTTTATCTTGTATAAAAACCACATGGACGAATTCAATTGAACTAAATTTTGGCACAGGAATGAGTTTAAAAAACATAGTATGACAAAAAGGGCCTGTGGAGAATACCTGGAAACAGTTTTAAGAAATAATCTCGACGAGATGCAGCGAAACGTAACTATGTAAGTCTGTATAAATACAATTTAATAATTTAATAATTTCATATGTTATTTGAGTTTGAATCATTTGTCCATATAGTTTAAATTATGTGCCTTTATGAGTTTATGATCATTTCCCAAGGTTTTTTATGCCAAATTGTTTACAAAAGAATTAAAAACTCTTGACAAAATGAAGTTGAATTTTATTGAATTTCATCATGCTATGAATAAAATAAATAATCACTCGGGCAAGTCGTGCAATTAATTAACAGCTTGTGCAATTTTGGCGCATTTTTCCAATATTACTCGTAGTGTTAATATAATTAATTGCACTCTTTCCTGTGTGATTACCTATACTTATATTGCATTGACATTTATATACACAGTGAACTATAATTGCTGATGTTTTATGATTATTGTACATTAGTATAATTACATAGGTGATTATTGAAAATTCTCCACGCTGATTGGTTACCGTTGAGGTGATTATTACGCGATAATCACCTAAGCGATTTTCAAAATGGCGGCCGAAGCCGTTTCGTCAATTGAAAGACGAAGAAATGTGCATTTTTAAATTTGTTTTTCAAATAATCACCTATGAAATTATCCTGAAACAATTATTCACCTCAGGCTCGGTGATTATCGTGAATAAAAACCTCGACTTCGTCTCGGTTTTTATTCACCGATAATCACCTCGCCTTCTGTGAATAATTGTTAATTATTTCTGGTGCCCTCCTACTTTTCTTTGATATTTTTGGTAGCCCCCCCTAACTGGTTGATAAATTTTTGGTGGCCGCCCAAATATCTTCCGCCCGCCCAGGGAATTAATGACTGCTCCCTTATACTGTGCGATAAGTGAATATTATTGGAAAGAGGGCTTCCATATACGTTGAAATCGCCAAACAAAAACAGCTCATGCAGACATTTCTCCACTTCGTCGTAAGTTTACCGAGCATATTTTATACTTTGGGACTGATTGTGTCTTTGATGTGAACATTTATTCTTCTAGTTTAAGGTTATTTAAGATTAATCCTGTCGTAAGTGTTCTAGCAGCAACCAATCGACAATATTTCACTTTATCGTTGTCTTTTCCGTTACCTTGGCTTCGCGTTATTTTAGTTTTAAATACCTTGATCGCGTTAAAAGAGTTATTTTTCAGGCCAGTCATGACATAGCCAAAAGACTTCGCATTAATGTCCTTGTGATTTTGTAGAGATATCTCTAGAACTGAGGATTTTAGAAAGCGTTATCTGTACTTTCTCAAAGTTGTAGACAAGATATGTTGTTTACGCCCAACACGCATAAGCTTAATTACATAACTCAAAATGATTCGATCAAAACCGATCTTTTGTTAAAAGGAAAACTGGTTAATAGAAATTGGTCCTTTCGAGTGACATAATCGTGTATCGTTATCGATCCGTGTCGTTGAACAATGAAAAATTTGTCGTGAAATTTTTGAAGATAAAATAGCATTTTGATTTTTGTGGGAAAACTGCGGGTCTACAGAGCGGGAACTTTTCGGATTTGAACTCATGCAGTGTGCTTGAAAGTGTTAGTTCCCGTAAAAATATTTCAGATCTAAGAATGCTTAATGAAAGGGAATGATATCGGGTCACAACACACGGACTAATAATAAAACAATCGAAATAGTCGAATTAGAAAAAACTTCACAAGTAACTAACGACGTATTTATAATAGCTATGCTTCAACGGCCTTGACTACAAAAGATGGAAACGCAAATCCCCCTACAGACGTGGTTGTGTCAGCTCAGCTTCACATAACTAATGTAGATAAACATGCATGGTAATCCTGATTGTTGGTTTCAACACTCCAAAAAAACTTCCCCTGTCCATTCCTGTTTCACCGTGGCCCCTGCCCACTCCTGCATGTTTCAAAGGGAAAAAGTGCAATTTCTCCGATTCGAAGCTGAAACATAACAACGAGGAATGCGTGATCTTTCCTGAACAAAAAAAGGTTGAATGAAAGACTTACTGTGCGATTTCTTTCACGAAACCAACCGCCCCCAACAAGGTCACCATTTCAGTCATCATGCACGAAATCCCGCCTTTTTAGGACCGTTGCAAGACCTCAAGCCGATACTAAATCAGGTGGAGTTAAAACTGCAGCGAATTTCAACAATTCCCGCTCCCAATGGATATGAATGGACGCCCACCGATAACGCAGCA